TTTCTGACACTTATCTTTGAAATAATAACCCAGATCGGATTATATTCTAACAGATTATATTCAATATAATTTTGGTTATTTTAAAATTGGAGACTTACTAACCCATGAAAACACCAAAAAAGTTGTATTTGTCAAAAAACTGTGAGCCAGGAAACAAAGATATACCACTTTGCAGGTTTGCCCTATTTCCTTAAGGTTTAACACTATTAAAACTGTTAAATATATCTATGTTAGAAAACAAGCACGGCAAGAATTACAGTGTTCTGTCTTGTATATCACCTTTCCAGAGTGCAAATTCACAGTTTGATGGATGATTAACATTAGGGGAAAATTATTCATCTGATTACCAGCAAGAGAGAGATAAAATGAACACAATATATTGCTGAATTTAGCATTATAATCACAAGAAGAATTTTTATAGATATATTGCAGCAGGGAATACTCCCAGTTTTACACACAGGAATTTCCTGAATCTAATATGTCATTTATTCCTGGCAAAGTCTGTCCTTTGTCTACATATATTTCATTTTTCCCAAACAGAATAGCACTAAGCTACGTAAGTGCTGGACCAACTTTTGCCAGGTTTAACTACTGTATGTCGTAAAGCTTTAGTACAGCATTACATCTTATCTGAAAGGTAAGCTAGAGGAGTACCTTAATCATCCTACCAGTTACAAAGGGCATTTCAAAGCCTACAACATACCTCATTTTAGAGCAATTCACAGTAAGATTTACTCTTGAAGATTCTATTTTTTATTTTGTTTTGTGAAGATTAAATAGATTAAGGTGCCCTGATGGAGGGGAGCTCTATACAAGGGCAAATGTGAACAGGAGAGGATTTTAAGCACATAGCAATCATCCTTTTAACTGTATTTTTGCCATGCCTTTCTGCACACTATTTTTCACAGTCTTACAACGTTTCAGATCAGTCCACCAGGCCTTATTCCCATTATAGTCAATAGTCCAGAGGCTTCCACTACCATCACTTTGTGATGAAGATTAGACTTCCTTTCGCTTCTTATCTTGCACTTCGTTTTGTTTTATTCTGTGGTGAAGTCTTATGTAACTTCATGATCTATCATTGTAAAAGCAACTGTGCTGTGGAAAATGCATCTCTTCATTGTATGAATATGGAAGTGATAGACTTGGAGAGAAGGAATGTGAAACAAAGCTCTCATAATTAGCACGCAGTAGCATGGAAAAATATGATAAATATTTTGTTTAAAATTATGCTATACTGTTTAGGCACTTCTACTTCATGGAGAAAATTCTCTTCCATCCCCAATGCCAAGCACTGGAAACCAGTTTTGGCTCTAAGCGTTCCTCAGGATTTTAGAGGAAGGGAATCTACGACCGCTATGACAAGCCTGGGCTGCAGTAGTAATGCTGGTCCTGCTTCACGGCTCCGTGACCAGCAAAGCCATGGAGCTCCACCTCTGCCTGCAAGTACCAGGTCTTTTCCTTACCAAACCGTTCTTCACGATCAGCACCACTTCATGGAGACAGAGAAGCCCTGGACTGCTCAGCTCCTTACTGTACTCTCTGGAGATACCCAGACCTGCCATTTGAGTTCAGCATGATGAGACATGGCCTGTGATTTCTGCCAGTGCCGTCAGCTGATGCTGGGGTACCACAGCCGAGCGCAGGGCATATGCGGCTCATCTGTTTGAAGTCTCTCTCAATTTTGACTCACAGAATGACTGTTGGTTTGCACTGAGCGACTCCTGGATCACACACACTATTACTCAGAGGTAGCAGATTCAACACTATATTATCAGTTCTCACTTATTTCTCTCAGGCTAGTTGCCTGCACTATTCAGAAAAAAGGTAGATGTTCCCTCAAAATCAAAATATTTTGATTTCAAATATTTATGTTGTTATCTGGTGCTCTGAAAATGATGTATACTTTAATCCAGTATATAGACAATGCATTTGCAATTATTTTTATTTACTAGCCTGGCCATGATACCAGTTTCCAGAACGCATGCCCAAACAACGAAGATTTTTGTGAGCATAATATGTTCAATTATTGCATACAGCTAGGTCAGCTGCTTAAAACTGCAGATCTTCTTTTAGAGCATTTCCTTTTATGAGTATATTTGCATAATACAAAAATAGACCTTTAATTTCAATAAATTACAAACTCTTCTACCGTATTTTGCAACAGAACTGGGGCATTTAAATATTTTCAAATAATCTTTCATTTTAAGGATATGATTTCAGTCACACCAAGGTGCTACTTATCGCTTCATCTGCTCTGGAGATTAAAAACATGCAAAACAGAGGTGAGTTCTTAAATAGCATTCCTCCCATTTTAGAAGAGATACAGTTTGAAATTGCTTCTTAAACTCCCCTGCCTGTTTGTGGAAAAAGGTGTTCAGCCGAGGTCCCAAGCATCCTGATACATCACAGCCCAAACCCCTTGCACCTGAAATGCTGTTTATGGCCAAAGGTACAGGCTCCACAAAATCTCTCTGAGGACCTGGAACGCATTTTCAGAGATTTTTGTATTGAAACTACATTCTCACAGTGCTGGTTGAAATACTTACTGCTTGCAGAGAATGAATTTTCATTCAAACCTGTAAAAATATTTTAAGCTTCAACATATTTATGCAACACTATGTTGAGATTGCACTGCACTTAAACCCAAGTACAACAGGCCTGCAGCAGCATAGTCAGTTCATAAAATAGCTTTTTGGAAAACAAGAATTTCATTTTTCATGATTTCGCTGAATTCAGGATTAGAAAGCTCTTTAAAAAACCTTATACTTCATGTGGAAAGGTCTCAATGGCAGAAAAATCCATAAGTATTGCTACGTTGAATTATTCCCCAAAAAGGTTTACAGTTTTCAAATATGTAAATGTCTATACCTGGATGGACAACTAAATCCTCATTTAGTCTCATAAATTCTTGGGCTAGATTTCAGAGGTTTTGAGAACTCTCAATCATCTCTACTTTGTGTGTACCTCTCTGTAGACCAAGCCAGGAGATGTTGTCCACACTAGGATGGCCCCACTTTTTAAATTTGTTGACTAAGCCTCTGGCATTACTAGGTGCCATTCAAAATAATGGTTATTAACCAAATTGTGGATTTGCTTGATTAGCAATGGAAAAGTGTGAGCTGCAGCCTGTATCCCATTGCTTACTGCAGTGAGGCCGACGACACACCCTCCATTATCAGTATTTCAGAATACACACGCTTTGCCTGTTCAGTTTAGGCAGAAATGAGATTGTTGTATTATGCTGCCTTGAGATGAACAAAAATGAATTTATCTCTAGCTATTCACTTTTGTATTTTAAATATTATTCTCTGTCTCATCTTTCCTCTTGCACCTGCTATAAACCCCCTCGTCCCAGAACCTAAAACAAGAAGATCACAGTGTCTTGGTTTCAGCTGGGATAGAGTTAATTTTCTTCACAGAAGCTAGTATGAAGCTATGTTTTGGATTTGGGATGAAAATAATGTCAATAACATGCTGATGTTTTCAGTTGTTGCGAAGTAGTCAAGGACGGTCCAGCTTCTCATGCTGCCCCGCCAGCAAGCAGGCTGGGGGTGCACGGGAAGCTGGGAGGGGACACAGCCAGGACAGCTGACCCAGGCTGGCCAAAGGCATATTCCATACCATGCGGCACCATGCTCAGCATATAAAGCTGGGGGGAAGAAGGAAGGAGGGGATGTTCAGAGTGATGGCATCTGTCTTCCCAAGTAAGCGTTACGCGTGATGGAGCCCTGCTCTCCTGGAGGTGGCTGAACACCTGCCTGCCCATGGGGAGTGGTGAACGCATTCCTTGTTTTGCTTTGCTTGTGTGCGCGGCTTTTGCCTTCCCTATTAAACTGTCTTTATCTCAACCCACGAGTTTTCTCACTTTTGCCCTTCTAATTCTCTCCCCCACCCTGCCATGGGGGAGTGAGCGAGCAGCTGTGTGGTGCTTCATTGCTGTCTGGGTTTAAACCACAACACACAGCTACAAGCCATTTTGAAGGTCACCTCTAACTTCAGAGCATCTATTTCTCTAGGATTGAAAGAGTTTTGGTGTTAGTGAAATATAAAGTATAAAATACTTTCCTTTTGCTATGCAATATGTGTGTACAACACCACAAATAAGAGGAAATATTCTTGTCAATACAGCACCATCAGCAAGATGCTACTTGCGTACCTGGGTATCTGCAAAGTGAAGCTTACTTCTTAAAGTTCATAATATTAATAAAAGATGCTCACAGGAGGTTTCCAGCTATAGAAAAATTTAAGAGGTTACAGTAGGGCCAGCCTTACTGTTGAGAGAACCTGTTCAAGAGAACATTTATAAACCGGTCATTTATCCGGGGTTTATGCTACCGACACAACAGAAAGGACATCCTGGGGCCAGTGCTACCTTTTTGGAAGCAAGGGCTGACGTCTGTACTGTTGCACTCTTGGTAGCATGATCATCAGCACGCAGTGAAATTAGTACCAGTCAAACCGTGAGGCCGCCTACAAAGCTTGAAGTCTTAAGCTGTTACTTCTTTTTAACACGATAATCTACAACTCTATAAAAGCATCTAAAAAGGTGGAACGCACATTCCATTACCGCTCTCAACACCTTTGCCAGTTCGATAATGAATAGAGCTGCTAAAAATCAGCTGCAGCTGGCAGAACTAATACCTGAGACAAAACCAGGGAGACATTGGGTTTTTTTTTTCATTCTCTCTTATGCCTGAGGAAATAGTGTATATATGGCTCCTTGCCCATCCACTCAAACGCTTAAGTCACACACCTATGCCTCTGGAGATGGGTGTTTGTGTGTGTGGGAGGTAATGCACAGGGATGAGGTGAGGTCTGGCAGGCAGCGCCATGGCCTGCTGAAACCTCAGACCACACTTCATGTACAGTTTAGTGCTCACTTCATCCACAAACCCAAACTAGTGTCCAGTCCATTTACGTACTCAAACGCTTGCTTGCGCAATTCATGTACTAAAACCAGCCTCCCTCTGATCGGCACACCTGCCCCACCTCCTCACCTGACCACATTGGGGTGCTCAAATGTCTCCAAGTGCCTCAAAACTGCCACTTCTCGGATGGTGGACAGTGGCATCCCCTCCTCGCTGGTCTGCACCCGTACCCGCTTCAGCGCAACGAAGCGACCTCCATTCTTCAAGTCTCGGGCTTTGAACACCTTCCCGTAGGCTCCTTCCCCAATCTCAGCCACACATTCATACTGCTGGTCAGGCACGTTTGCGCTGTCCTTATCCATGGTGGTGCCGCTCCTCTTCCTCCCGTGCTCCGGGTGCCTTGGAGTGGCTCTCGGTCTCGCTCGCTTTCTGAAAACTAGTGCTTTGCTCACGTTGCAGATACGCCACGCACTCGGTACCTCTGCCAGAGGGACAGTAGGAAGCTCTTGCCCTCCTCTTCCCGTTCCTCTTCTGTACGGGCCCCAATGCGCCTCCTCGTTCAGCCACTGGAAATTATCATACAGTCTTTGGGAACATTGTCTGTGAAAAGCCAAATAGATCTGAAGGACAAACCAAGCGAGAAAAGTGAGTTTAGTTTACTTCATTACTTGGCATTGTTTAAAAACAGAGAAAATTAAAGTAATACAGTAGATAGATAGCTACATTGCAAAGCAAAAACGCAGTGCAAAGGAAGACGTGAACCATCAGGGTGACCCATGTATCAACATCCCTGCATGGCTGATACAGCACTACGTAGTTATCATGGTCTGCACAGAAGGCTACAACTCACAGCTACAAAGCAACCCCGTGCTGTGGGATTTTACTCAGCAACGGGCTGAATACAACGACCCTGTGAGACGTGGATGATGGGGATGGCGGAGCTAACTATGCGTATGTGAGAGGAAGTTATGTCCAGGAACTTATGCCAGGATTGCAGGACTTAAAAGGTTTCTTCAGTGCACACAGTGGAGTCTTGGAAATATATCCCATGCTATGTTACTGGTACTTAATTGTAAATGATAGCACTCGGAGGTTTCAGCCTCGATCTGCTCTCCCCTCTACTACGCCCTGTACGAACACATCACAAGAGACAAGTTCCTGCCTCAAAGCGCCTGTGGGGAGGAGAAATATGTACATATTTAAGTGACGATAATAATACATTAACGAGCATCGTGTGCTAGAGGTAGATTCAGAAACATACGCTTTAGCAAGCTTATGAACATGCAAGGGTTTTGGCGGCGGACACTACTACTGCTGGATGTGTGACTGGCAGCTCCTTGCAGGACAGCCTGATGGAAGACAGTCTTCAGAAACAGTCTGCTCTGCTGTGTAGTGCATGAGGCTGGAGAGCAGAAGCACTTCCTTCTGCACCCAGTTTCATCCATGCTTTCTGCAGGACTGGGGGCAACTCTTCTCCCCTCACAAAACTCCACATCGATCCTCTCCCTCCCCCTGTCCCTTTTTCATATAACGACACTGCGACCTCCGGGGCTGTAAGCCTCTCCTACGCTGCATTTTCACCGCGCTAGGATGAAAGAGCTGCAGACAGCTCAGTCGGGGATGCGCTAACTTCAATCCCCGCACAAAGCCAGCGGTATTTTGCACGCTTACGCCGACCTCACGCCTCAGCTGCAGGTGAAAAGAAGAGCAAACCTGTGCCCTGTGCTCAGGGCTTTCCCCGGCCGCAGCCAGCGGACCACTCTGCCCTGCCCCACAGACTCC